TCGCTGTAATACAGATGCTACAGAAGATCTTTCCTGCCTACAGCCATCAGCATCTACAATAACTCTTTAGTTAAATGAGTTAAAACAACACCTAATTTCCCTCTGGGATCAGTAAAGTATTTTTGAATTGAATTGAATTGAATTGAATTGAAATGAAATGAAATTAATTGAAAAGGCAGACAGTAACAAAAATAATTCTTCTTAGTAGTTAGTAGCAATACAATGAAATTCATTTTTGTCAAAATTGCAATTGGAAACATGATTTTTCATTTAACCTGTAAAAATATGCAATATAGTTGATCAATTTCATTTACTAGAAGCCCCTTTCATGTAAAGATAAAGGTTTATTGCCAGCCATGAGCTTGAATTTATTCTCTGCAGCATGAAATCCCACTGACCTTGATACACAAACTAACTGCATAGTAACATAGCAAACAACTTGTATATATTGTTTTGAAAATTCATTGATTCAGCTCATCTCATCAATATAATTTATATACAAAGGATTATTAAATATTTCATTTTTTCTGGTAAAAATACATGCACATGGCATGACATTTCTCTTGTATTGAAAAGCGAATTAGAATATTTACAATATTTAATACGTTGTAATGATTGGAAAAACTTGATATGGAAACGTCGGTGTTGAATAAAACTTGAACATCACAGCTATCGGTTTGTATTTATTTTAACATTTTTATACTCTTTAAAAAAAATTTACAGCCCAGAGCATCACCAGCACCACTTTCTTCAGTCCCATGGTGAGAAAACACAAGAAACCAGTCATTTTCACAACTAAATATTTTATCTTACTTTATTTGACAGTATTTAAAACAATCAATGCCCAATATTTTATAACAGCAGCTTGCTTAGTTTAAAACTTGATCTTGTATTTACATTATTATTATTATTTTTTATTATTATTATTAATAATTTGTTTTTCTGCTTGGGATTTCCTTACTGAGCTTATATTTCTTGGATTAAATTTCTTGAAATATTATATTTCTTGGCCAAATTTCCTACCTGATGAATTCATTAGCAAAAAATCATATTTATATATGATTCTACTCATAAATTTGGCCATAATCTACTGTTTACATTGACCGCCCCTCACAAGATGGCGTCGCGCTGCTACCGCAATGGGCATCTGTGTCTCATACTGATGACGTTTAAGGAAATTCTGGGAAGAATTTACACATATTTGGGACTTAAGTCCATACCTTGTACTGTACGATGGTTTTAGTGTGGGTTTGTTGTTCAATCAGTCCGTGTCGTGTGTTCTTTTAGACACATCTAGTGAACAGCAGTAAATGCGTAAATGTATTGCGTAAAAAAAGCAACGCAAGAAGTTACTCTGGGGACTTTTAAGCTCATTTTCGTTAACTTATCACAGAAAATGTGTTATTCGCTCATAGTTGAATCTCACCTGTCCATTGCGGCGCGTCCTTCGGTYCTCAAGAGGCAGGAGATCACGTCAGCCGACACACGACAGCGCTACAGCTGTGTTTAGCAATAACTACTGTGGCTCCAAGTTTACTAACAAGAAAAAATATCCGCTCTTAATTTTTTTAAAAGATGAAACAATGAATTAATGCTCAGTGGTACCTCAAGCTTAAACGCTTGTTCTTCCTATAGTTTGAGCTACAAAAGTAGTTTTACCTGCTTCATGTAGCAATAAACCTGCCTCACCTAATATGGAGGACTGAAACTGACATAAATAAAAGCAAAAATAAATGGACCAATAAATAAATACAATCGAAATTCACAAGTTGATTTTAAAAAAGAGCTTTACCTTATGTTTTATAATTTAATT